GGGAAGTTCCAGGTAATTAGCTACCGATGGAGGCAGTTCCTGGTGATGCTTACTGGTCAGATTTCACAGTTGATGTTTAAAATCGACTTTAATGAATGCAAAGTTGACTCTCTGTCCACCTTGTTCACACACCTTCCCCTGTATTTTCTGAGGGAGAAAGAAGGGCTGGCCTCTCACTCCCTGTGTCTGGTCCCGGGCATGTCTGGGCAGCGTGACCGGTGTGTGGATCATTCCTGGAGTAATGACAAATGATAGAAGGATTCTGGCAGATAACAAGGAGCAGGGGAGATCCTGCAAGACCCAGGCTGGGGAGAAATTTGTTTCCGAGTCAGGAACTAGGCTCCTGAGATGTTTGCGGGGGCTGAGATCACAGAGGCTGGCTCAGCTCAGATCTTACAAGGCTACTGGAAACACCTCTGATTTCCTGAGTCAGACCAAGCTTCACTTAAATGTGGTGGCATACAGATACAGACTGGAAATGAGGTGACTCCTTCTTCCTGTACAACCTCCACAATGATCATGTGTGGGTCCGCATCCTAGAATCACATGTCCACTGGTGATCGGTTTAATTTCCCATATCCCGGAGGTTTTATTTTGCAAACTTAACAGACTGCAACCTGCTTACACTGCTCTGAGACACACTGACCCTACTTTCTCTCACATTTTCAAGGACAATCAAAACCCCAGTGAACTTCAATGGAAGATTTGTTTTCCTGATAAGTCTATCTTATGGCTAGTCAAGCCTAGCTGCTGAAGGCATGTTTGCCAGGAAACAAGCTGTGTATTATTTCTGTGGTTTGGCATGGAAATTTCCAAGCTGGGATGGATTTGGGAAAGAGGGACTAAAACTCAGGCCATTACAGGGTTCGATTGAATGTGAAAGGTTGCCATGGAGGAGTCCTGAGCTCAGAGAGGCAATGCTCTGGACAGCAGAGGTGTGGGCGGCTGCTAGGGCCTGGCCAGAAGACTCAGGACACCACACACACACACACACACACACACACACACACACACACACACACGGCTTCTTGGGTTAGGCCCTGGCTGCACGGCTCTGCCCACACTGCCCCCATCCCTGTCAGCCCTGGACTATACACACCCAAAGGAAAGGAAAGCTGGGTTATTCAGGGTACGGCATGGGCAGAGGAGCGCAGGAAGCCAGCCAGTATTGGCCTGTGTCCGTGGAGACCCACACCTGCAACGTGACCTGCCTGACACTTGGGATTTCACTATTACCCGTTCCTCAACCCAATGGTCCTCTCGGAACTGTCACAGATTTCAGAGTGCTGCACGGCCATGCCATGGGGCCATTTCAGGGAAGGCAGAGGAGTTCCTGCTGCTCCCCAGGGCAGGGGACCAAATGGCAGGTCAGTCCATGGCAGACCTCGTTTGTGACAAAGGGGGAGTTATTGGGCACAGCCCACGGCTTACTGTTGTCTGAGCTCAATCTGGGACTGGATCAGAGCTACCCTAAAATCAACATTATTCATGTAAAGTTACACAGATAAAATGAGCTGCTGAGTAGAGGTCTCTGGAGTGTGCCAGAGCTCCCAGTGCCATCTGAAAACAACTGTGTTGTGCATTCCCCTGCAGCAGGGGCAACCCTGTCCCTCACCCTGCCTCCCCCCCCCACCCCCCCACAGTGGGCCTATGCACCAGGGAAGGTGAGGCAAGCCTTTGGCAATGGGGATGCAGGGTTCAAGGGAGCTACAGGGGTGGACAGACACATGAATTCATTTGCTTGTGGTCCTCAGGTTGCTTAGAAAGGGAAATCAATCACACAGGTGGTCACAAAATGATAAAGGAGTAGAAGGGCCAAAATAGAGGACAGATGGCATGGGCAGGGCCCCCACAGCTTGCTGAGGAGACAAGCGTTTCCAATGGACCTGGGGCAGGCTGGTGGTATTTAATCTCCCAACATCAATCCCATTCAGTCTCTCTTTTCCATTCATACTGCCACCCCCACGTTCACTGTCACTCCTCACTCTCCAGTCTCTCTGTCCTCAACTTCCCACAGCACCTGGCCATGCCCCCCACTCTGCATGATTAGGTGAGAACTGCCCCCAACACTCAGGGTTGACTTGTCTCGTCAGCCTGTCCTGCAGCCTGCCTTGCGTCTCTCACTCTGGCCACCCCGGGTGTTTGAGACACTTGGGACTTGGTTCCACATTCAGGGGAAAGCCCTTAGGATGTGTGGAGCTTCGTCCCTGCCTCAGCCACACTGTTCAGCAACACTGCCAGGTGTTGACACGATCCCACCAGTGATCGGTTGGCCCAGCGACAACTGCCACCTACTTATCCACAGCTGCTTGGGTCAAAGGTAAGTGCCAAGGTCGAAAGCAAGCCACCCAAAGCCTTTCCTGGTGTATTTCAGCTAGTAGCTGAGAACGCAGGGCCAGGCTTAACCAGCCTGATAACTCGTGCCTGAGGCAAACCCAGGAGATGGCACATGGGGGTTCGGAGCAAGCCCAGGACTGGTCCCCAATGGTCTCCAGGTCCCCACAGGGGCCCAGCTTGATTTTCTTCCCTTGCCAGCACACTAAAACATACTTGCTGTGTGCACACAGTCTCAAAAAAAGTGTGTGCTGAACGGGTGTGCAGCCACACAGACCTCATATTGCTAGTACCTTGGAGCTTCTCAGAGGAAGGCAGGAAGGGTGAGTGTGCACCCAGGGACTAGGCAGCCCTTTTGGGCTTCATGTTCCCACCTGGGTAGGGAATAGCTCAGGATCGGCCATCCTGCCTTGTGGCCCCCAGGCCACATCTACCAACCAGCCCCACGTCTCCTCTGTCACAGCCCCAGGAGGGGAAGGCATGAAGCTAGTTGGTGGTCCACCCCGGAGCAGTTACCTTCTGCCACGTGGCCCTGGTCTCAGTTCCCCCTTGATTTAGGATACATTTTACACAGCAGAGTTTGTTTGTTTGTTTGTTTATTTGTTTGTTTGTTTGTTTGTTTAGCTGTTTACTGATGTAGCCCAAAAGCCTAAAAATACAATGACCCTCCAACAGGTAGGTGCTCAGTAACTAGTTTTTGAATAAACGACTTAATGCTTAGTTATTTGGTTTCTAGGACAGAACTTCAAAAATATTATAATTGGAAACAATATTAAGGTTCCAAATTTAGAACTCTTCTTTACCTAAATGTGCTAATTTGGCAAAATTACAGGTTTGAGTAAGTTGTAGTTGCCTGTATATGTTTCTACGTTTGTTAAAAAGGGGATTGGCTATAAAACAAACTGGAAAGGCCAACGAGTTATATTGACATTGTTCACAATGATGCTTACACGTTGCACAAGATAAATGAAGCCTTCACACAAATAATAATTACAGAAATGCAAACGAAACCGGGGCGGCGCATCTCTCAATGATTCGGCTGGCAGCGTGCAGCGGTCATGGTCACTGCCACCAGAAGGTGGACAAAGAGGCCCCCCACTGTCAGCAGGAATGCAAACTGACACGAATGTTGGCGAGCAATTTGGCTGTATCTGGAGGTTGTAAACCATGCATCCCCAAACCAGGGCAAGCCTGCAGCACTCAGTGAGGCAGCGAAGCCTCAGGACCATGGAACGTCCACCAGGAGAGGCGCCGCTAACAAGTATGGCAGCTCTGCCAAAGGGCGGACAGTGCTGACTGGGAAAAATGTTCATGGTTATCGTGAGGTGAAAAAGAACAAGCCGCAGGCCTGTACAGACACTATGACGCTACTGTTTGAGGGAAAGTATGTGTGTTCACAGGTAGCTGTTTGTGTGCCCGTACATGTGTGCGTGACTGTGCAAATGTGTGTGTGCAAACATGCACGTGTCAGTTCATTGCACGTGTGTGTGTGTGTGTGCGTGTCTACACACGCACACATTTATAAGCACAGGGAGCAGTCGGAACCATCACCATAATGACCATAGTTATAGTGTTGTTTGATCCTGTGCCAGGCACCACTGTTCTAAGCACTTTGCATATATTCATGCATGTAATCCTCATAACCATCCCACAAGGGGCTACTATGTGAAGGGGCTATGTCCACTTCACAGACCAGGAACCTTGGCAGGGAGAGCCAAATGACCTACCTAAGGTCCCATGGCTGGGAGGTGGCAAGTCTGATGCCAGGCAGCCTGGCTTCAAAATCCAGAACAGAACCACTCTATTTGCTGCCAAGCCCAAAATGTGAAAGGTGAGACAGACTGTCGAACATCTTAGGTGGCAGAACTATGGATGCTTTTTACTTTCCTTTTTTGTATTTTTTAAAGTATTTTTATACGTAAATTTATTACTTTTTAAAATGCAAGAAGGGACACCTTGTCCTCAGGGTGAGAAGGTGCCGTGGGGTTTCTCCTCCACCTCCTGGGGTGATGTCAGTGGCTTGATGGAGAAACATTGAGTAACAACAGGAGTTATGCAACAGGAATTACAATGCACCTGGAGACGCTGATGAAATCCTCGGTGCCTACAGCTGTCAAGTGCGGTTTTGAAAAATAAAAGGAATACACCCAGCCCACACCCTGACTTTACAATCCATAATTAATTAGGAAAAGAAAGAGAGACATGTCTGGGTTCGTGACTTCAACTTTCCACCTGGAATATGAAGTTCTAAGACACCATTTGGCCTAACCCCCACTGCCTTTTCTTCTCATCTCTTCTCGCTCTCTCTCACTCTCAGGACTTTTTTGTTTGTTTACAGTGCTGCTACCAAAATGAGAATGTAAATACATATATGTGTGTGTGTGTGTGTGTGTGTGTATGTGTGTGTATATATATATATACATATAAATATATACATATATATATATATATTCTGCATAATTCATCAACTACACTATGACTGTCCAAGTGCTACTACCAGTGTCACTCCCACAAACATCAACACAAACACACAGACAGTTGTCCTCTCACTCCTCAGCCAGTCACTGGTGTCTGGAGTCAAACCCAGGACACCTTCATGTCCACACTCCCAGTCTCAAAGTCTATGCTTGCTTACTTACTTGATTAAAGAAGTCTAAGTTACTCACCTCATGCTGAACGAATGTGAACTGCTTTTCTATGGAACGTGGCTTCTTTCCTGGTGGAAAACAAGACCCATGAGCTGAGGAAGGCTCACACTGTGCCCGCGTCTCTTCCCACTCTGGGTGCTGGCACCTTTTTTGTCTGCAGTTAGAATACTCACTGATTTTAATTCTCATTGATCAGATACTCATTGACTAAAATTCAAACACACATTCATTCACTGAATCAGTGACTGATTTGTGGCTGCACCGTGGTAATAATTTGGGCCCCTCCCCCAGAGGCCCTGGTTTAAGCGGCCTGGGTGGGCTCAGGCACGGGGAGTTTTTAAAACCTCCCCAGGAGACTGTGCCATGCAGTCAGGGTTGAGAGCTTTCTCAAGGGGAGCTCCCTGAGCAAACCTCTGTCCCCAGAAGCTGACCTCCACCCAGCCGGTTCCTCTGCCTGAGCCCTGACACTGTTTCCTCCAGGCAGCCACTGGAACTGCCTGGCCTGGGGTAGTAGCCCAGAGACGCCCTCCCCTCTCCCCATAGCACTTGGTTTCAGAGTAAACAGCTTCTTGTTATCAGCAGCCACCTGAGGCCTTAGAGAGGCGCTGCCTCTATTCAGGGCAGTGCTGGGGAAGGGGGTGACAGGTGACATGCCTTCAGGTAATTAACAGGACAAGCTACCCTGTTTAGAAAATGAGGGGCATGTGGGAGAGGGAGCAAAAAGAACAGAGGCTCCATCCCACGTGGGGAGGCTTGGTAGCCACGAGGTCTCTGAGCCTGTAAGAACTTGGATGTCCACATGTCTGTGGTCCCATGACATCAACCAGCTGTTCCGTGACCACTGAGTTCTCTGGGTCGCACCCCTGTGTCAGGCTGGCCAGGGACACAGTGTGAATGGTACCCCTGTAGCTTCACAGCGAACTGGCCCTGCCCCAGTCTCAAGGCACACACCTGAGCAACGTCACCCACGCACACCTGTGGGGGGAGAGGGGGCAGGTGTCCTGTGCAATGGCAGTCCCTACAGACTGAACCACTTCAGGGCAACTGGGACCCTGAACAATTTTGGGTATTTGCAGAACTTAGGGGCAGGATCTGGCCAACTTCAGGGTGTAGGGTGTGGAGTGGGGCTGCAGGTTGCTGTTTCCAGATTGCAAGTGCTGCAGACGCCTGGCTACGCCCAGCATGCACTCACTGCACACCCTGGCGTGGAATTCTTTAGCTCCCCACATGCAAGCTCCCTAGGATAGGGTGGACACAAGGGACCAGCACAAGTATTAGCTGAGGACCAGAGAGGGTCACAGCAATGCAAACAGCCGTTGTACAGGGAACACTGACTGAGTGTGTCACAGGCTGCGCCATGCCTCGACAGGAGCTCACAGAGTCCCTGCTCCGGCCCATGAGGCACAGCATCTACTCCTCTCCCCTGATAGACAGGCCTGGCTATCACAGTGACCACAGAAGTGACTGTCTGAATGAGACTTTCACACACACTCCTTAAGAAGGTTTGAGCATTTCCTTTCTCCCAAGTACAGTATGACTCCCATGCTGTGAGGAGATCCCAACTGGATATGTGATTGATCAGAGGCCGGAGGAGAGGCCCTGGAGACAGGATTCACGCTGGACATTCCAGCCTGTCAGCTGCCGGCTGAACGCAGCCACCGGAGTGATCCCTGCTGATGCCCTGTTCAAATTCTGATCCATAGAGCTGCAAGAAATAAAAAGCTGTGTTGTTTTAAGCACCACATTTGGGGTGGTTTGTTACACAGCAATAACTGGACCACCACTCAGGCTCCTCCGTACTAGCAGGGTCTGCTGACCCCAAGTGCCTGGGGAAACAGACTCGCACGTCCCTCTAGGAGGCTTGCAAAGCAGAGGTGTCCCCAGTGACATCCCTGAGAGCTCCGCAGGTGGACATGACTTCAGTGGGACTGGATACCTCGCCTTCAACATTAAATTATAGAAAACAAAATTTGACTCTTAATAGGACTGGTTGAAACTCAATGACAATAATAATAATCATACTGCGAAACTCCTTAAGCTCTGAGGTGGAAAGAGAAAAATTCTAGATGCTTTATTTTAGATATGTCATTTAAAAAAATCCCACAACAAAAAGCAAGCCCAAAAAGGGGATTCGTAAAACTACTTAAAATATGGAATTACCTGCTCAAGTAAATGTACACAGTAGCCTAGGTACTGTGAAGTCAGCCTGGGCCACAGCCACGGACCTTGTACGAGATCTCAGAACACACTTTCTTATCTTCTGGGGTGCTCAACATTCTCACAGTTGCTTTCTCATCACACTCACACCTGAGAGATTGCAGGGTTAGACAGCAATGCTGTCAATATCAGGGATAAGAGTTGGCCTGGGGGAAGGGGACCCTTCTGGCTGCATCCCAGGTGGGCCCAGGTCTTCCTTTTCCACTGACAGAGAGAAAGGGCCACCCACTCAGCAAGCCAGGAGGAAGTGCGCCCCTGCCCTGTTCTTCAAGCCTGCACCTGGCCCAGCACCTTTGTATATATTTCCTTAATATCTGCAAAGTCTGAGTGTCCTCCCCCCCCAAAAAAAAGTCATTTTTGCTCATTAGAGGCAGGGCTTTCTGTTAGTAAGAGTTTGAAATGAATTTATTAGCAGTCTTGCACCGCCACCCTTAGAGAAATCAAACTTGAAGGAATAGAGTTCGGTTGATGAAGTGAGAAATAACAAAGCCCGGCTTCTGGCCGAGAAGATGACAGGGGTCAGTGTCAGTGTCCCATCTGAGACGGAAGCGCCAGGTGTCCAGCAGGCCTCAGCCAAGGGACCAGCAGTGGGAAAGTATAGCCTCGGGGAAGAAGCCGGCACATCACACTGGACAGTGCTCCGAGTGTCTGGTCCCACGCCCGTTTTCTGTCCTGAGGCCTCATCCCTCTGACATGGTGGGAAAGTCAGTGTTGAACCCTCAAGATTCTGCAGTCTTACGCCGAGCACATTCTTCAGTGCCACCCTCATTTCCAGCGGGTCTGCAGTCCATGCCAGTTAGCTGAGATTCCTTTTGCACAGGTCAGGCACTTTGGCCGTGGGAAGAATTTCTCTGTGTGGTTTGGAGTCTTAAGTTTGGGATCGACCTTCCCTTACAGCACCCCAGAGGCTGACCAGTGGGGCTCCAGTGACCTCTTCCCATGGCTGATCCGGTCAGTGATTGGCATCCACAGGATGGTGAGGGAGGGGCCTCAGGGTGTTGATGGCCTGCTGTGGTGCCACCTTTGGGAGGGGGTAGGGCCTCTAGACCTTGGGTGGTGCAACTCCCTATTCCTCTTCAAAGCCATGCTGTGCTGCCCAGATCCCCGTCAAGACCCGGTGGACAGGTCCCTGTCCCATGACTGCGTTCTCCCAACACACGCCACCCACCCCAACCACCCTGGCCCCAGACAGCTTGCATCCAGTGACTGATCAGTGCTGCACTGAAAGCCTCAAGCTCCTGTCCAAACTCAGAGACCCCCCTGAAGGGCCATCTGACTATAGAGCACCCGGGTGCTCAGCAAGGCCACTGTCACGACTGCATCACAGCTCAGCCCTTCCTGCATCTCGTCCTGCTCCCTCCCCCTCCCTTTGCCTCTCTCTCCTCCCCTTCCTCTCCCTCCCCTTCTCCTCTCTTCCCTTCCCTCCTCCTCAATTCACCTCCCCATCCCTTCCCCTCTTCTACCTCTTTCTTCCCTCCCCTGCCCTACCTCCCTCCTTCTCCAGCCCTCTCCTCTCACCTCCTCCTCCCTTTCACATCTCCTACCCCTTGCCTTCCCTCATTTCCCCGTCCCTTGCCCTCACGGGTTTCAGTCCCCGAATCCATCTGCACCTGAGGCAGTACCCGTTCATTGCAGTGTGTTGTCCCATGAGGTCATATTATTATCACCTCTTTTTAAAAAACGAATAGAAAGAAATTAAGAAGCAGAGAGGCAAAAAATAAATAAATAAAAATGGACTGAGCCATCAACTGGTAAACGATAGAGGCAGGTTTAATTCCCATCTGTCTGGTTTCAAAACCCATGTGACAATGTTGTTTATTTGATTGTAAAGACAATAGTTCCTATTGGCCTGTCAACTGGGGCATAGGGCTGCAACTATCTGAGGTGAAATTCATTTCTAAAAGTTAGAGGGATTAGAAGATAATCTTTAGGTCTTCCTTTCAGTGTGTGAGAGAGAGACGTCTTCTCTCACATGAGTGGAGGAAGTGGGAGGAAATAAGTGAACTAAGATCCACAGAGGACTGGAGGATAGAGTGACTGGGGACGTTAGGAAGAGAGAAATAAAAACGCTGGGGCGCTCTGTCACTGAGCCCTCACAGCACTCTCAGATCAAAACCCACCTCCACCCGGGAAACAAGAGAGGCTCTACTCTTAAAGTAAATTAGCCCTCCAGGAGAGATGGACATTGACAAAACCTTCTCCTCCAAAACTCACAAAATAAACTTCCACAAAACAGCAACAACAGAAAAGACAATATAGTCACACTCAGAGAAAAGAAGGAGCAGCTACACAGCATAAATTTAGACAGCCGGTCAGAAGAGCCGGGAATCAGAGCAGGGCTCCCACCCTCCTCCTTGTACACACACCACTCACCACACACACAATGCACCACAACACACACACACACACACACACACACACAACACACTACTATACCACAACACAACACACACAGCACATAACATCCCCAAACACACACATACACAAGACAGCACACCACACCACATACACACAGAGAAACACACAAAACATACAAAACACAACACACACACACCACCACACACCAGAACACACACACTCCACAACACCCCCAAAAACACTCCCCCACAATACACCTCCCACAACACAATACAGAAATACACATAACACAAAGATCTTTTGGTATGTTGCCTTTTTGTTTTGTAGGTGGTTTCCTTTGCTGTGCAGAAGCTTTTTAGTTTGATGTGGTCCTATTTGTTTATTTTTGCTTTTGTTCCCCTTGCTGTTAGAGTCAAATCCACAAAAACATCATTAAGACCAATGTCAAGGAGATTACTGCCTATTTTCCTTCTATGTATTTTGTGGTTTCAGG